ATTGTGTCTTCCCATGAACTTGAGATACTGGGTCCCTACAGGCCAGTGATTTTATCTTACCAGAAATGAGCATAATCTGGTTGGGGAAATTTCCAAGCAATGGCTCTTGAAGGAGACCTTGATTCATGCCAAAAGATTAGAGGGAGGTGATTTGGTGGGGAGATATGAGATAACAGCCAGAAAAGAACCTTAGCGTTTACTCAGAATTGGGGGTGGGGGGGACCCATGGTTAAGATTTGCTAAAATGACCTAAAAGCAGCTGGCTTTCATAACAGAGGACATATATTATTGTAATTTAATTTTGCATCTGGGGTAGGTTGAATGGAGAGTCAACCATGATGTGGAAAACAATCTCAGTTCCCAGTTGGGTTTGGATAAAATATTGTCACCTCTAGGCTCGCAAAGGACCATCTCATGCTGTTAAAAGGATCGATATTTTTGCAATTCTTGGCAAGTACTTAATTCAACTCCAAAATACAATCTAAAATAAAATAAGGAATGGCAGCTACATCCTGGACAGTTTTTTTTTTAAAGCTAGCCAGGGAAACCATGCTCATGGCTCCAGACAAGATACAGCTGAGACTTGGATTTTAGTGACATCTTGTTTGGCATAACTTGAAGAAGAAGAGAAGGACCGAAAATTGTACTTCTGTTTTTGGATTGATCACAGCTTGTTTTAACTTCCTGATCAGGACTTCAGGCTATCATTTCTGAAGCTGGTTTCTTTTTGCTGATCCTAGCAGATGTTGAAGATAATTTAGGACAAAGATATAGGTGAAGTGTATGCTGTAGGTGGAGATTGAAATCAAGGCACCCTGCAGCTGTTCCTTGTAACCTTAAAACACGGTTTAATCTTAGATACGAACAAAGGAGGGAAAAAATCTACTTCCTTGTATCAAGAACAGCAAAATCCACTGGGCATTTTGGCTGCCTAATAAGACAAATTCTTCCTTGCTTTTTCCACCCAGCGTTAATGCAAAGTGAAGTCTTGATGATGCCTGCAAGATGTCTTGTAATGGCTGTATAATTATTATCCTGGCATCTGCTGATAAATGTCACACGGCATGGCACTGTTGGGCTGAGCCCAAGCAAGCAGCTCTGTGAAAACCCACAGAAAAATTGTGGCTCAGGGTCGAACTGTGGAGTCCTTGGTGCTCTCCGAGCTTAGTTGTTTTTTTGTTTTGGTTTGGTTTTTTGCAGACATTTTATGACCCAACTAGGGAACACCTTCAGTGCTAGAAGGGAGGGAGATTTATATGCAAAGGCCTTTTAGTGCTGATACTGTCACCATGACAGGTAACAAAACATCTCAGAGAGCACCAAGGACCCCCACAGCTCTGTGAAATTTACCCATCAGGTTCTCCTGAAATGTACCAGGGAGCAGAGGCATGTTCACACACACACACACACACACACACGCTCCCACACGCTAAAGACACGTGGCCAGAGAGGTGATTGGCTGCCAAAACCACCATTAGAGAATTTATTTGTGCCTCTCTGTGCTTTGTGCAACGGAAATCAGGACAGCCTCTTTCGAAAGACTCTCAAAATTTACAAGCTGGGCACTATGCAAAGCTACCCAAGTTCTGGCACTGCAAACAACGCCTGTGACTCTTTTTGACAGCAGTGTGCGAAAGAACAAACTGCTGAGACAAATGAAACGCACACTCCCTTGTCTCCTGGAGGCTTTTCAACCAAGAACTCTGCTGTGCTAGTTCAAATCGACACCGCCCTGCCTCAGGCTCCCTTGTTTTCCCGGAGGCTGGCTGGGCAGGTGACGTTAACATGTGAAAGGGGACAAACAAGCCCTGCTGGTTCCTTCCTTTCACAGTTGGCTTCTTCTCCGCTCAGAAGTTCTGGCCTTTTGAGCCACCAGTTATAGTTCTGCTACTGCTCGGGCCCTTCAGAAAGGAGGAGACTTAGACCGTTTTCTTGGGGCTGGATCGGCAACAACACATATTTTGGGGCCAGAAATGGTCCATTTGGCCAGCCGGTTACAGCTTCCATGTTGGCACTTTCAAATTCGGACGGGTTGAACCAGGCAGGGAACAATACGAAACAGAGGGAGAAGCCTGATGCCAGGTGACTTCCCCAGATGTCCCACGCAGTTTCTTAGCAACAGGGAGAAACTGGCTTTCCCTTCCCAGAGGTTTTTTTCAATTTCCCGATCTAGGCCACCACAGGTAGCCTCTTTTCGAAATGCCAGCCTGGGCTCTGCTTAGCTTTTTGAATCACACAGCAAGGTGGGAAAACGCAGCGAACGGGGAATCGGGTCGGGTCTGCTAAAACCTCATTTTGGATCCTCAGCAGGCATCAGCAAAGTCTCCAATGGTTAGATGGAGATTCTCAATCCTCCAGGTCATGCTTGTCCCAAAGGTGTGTTTTTCCCCAAAAGGCAAAAGGAAATTTTTGGTGTTTTTTGTTTTGGAATCGTTTCACTTCTCATCCAAGAAGAACTGAAGAAGCTTCTTGGATGAGAAGCAAAACGTTTTCAAAGATAAGACCAAGAAAGTCCAGTTGCCCTTTTTTGGGGGGGGGGGGGAAACCAACGCCTTGGGTCTCCAATGGTTACTCAGGTTGAGACTTCCAAGAACATTATATTTCCGTAGGGCTTAAACAAAAATGCATAAGTGACATGGCAGATTTTAAGGCATGTTGAATTTGGCTCTTGGGGTTAGAGTCTGGTGTCTTCTACATGTGTTAGACCCCGTGTCCCATAGCCTCAGCCATCCTGGCCAAGGGTCAAGAACCTGGGCAGATTACTTCAATTCTTCAGGAGGTCATCTAGTTATCTACCATTGGTATATCCATGAGCATCTACACATGCGTGGATTCTCCAGAGAACTTTTATTATTTTATTTATTAAACTTAGATGCCACCCATCTCGCCTAGAGGTGACTTTAGGTGGCTTGCAATCAATAAAAACAGCAAAATAAAACATTAGAACAATAAATATTAGTGGTAAAACTGATTTAAAATGGACAAAGATGGGAAAGAACAGAGCAAGATGCACCCAGGCGGGGTCTTATTCTTAGCCCATTAACCCCCTCCAGTTCATTATTCATACAATTCAGTTCACACATAGTATTCGTTCTTGTACCCAAGTGCCAACAATTGCACTTGAATCGGTTTTTAGGAGAGCAGGTTATGAAATGGAACCTTCTCTCTTAAAAATAATAATAAGAGACCCAAAGCGCATTCCAGCAAGCAGATACTGGCGGTGTTCCACCGTTGCCGAATATATCTTAGAATTTGGATTTGCAACAGGAAGAGAGACGTCTCCTGCTGATCTGTTGAGGCTTAACATTTGACAGCCACGAGGGAGGAGATTGATGTAATTTTTCCTTTAGTTTAGCATCTGGGAAGGTACTGTGTGCAGGGAAAGAAGAGGTTTCTGGCAGCTGGTTACAGGCTCCGGGGTCCTTGCTACTCTGATCTTAGAACCTAATTGTGGGATTTCCAGTTTTTTTCTGAAGGAAACGTGGCAGATAAGGAGGTAGCTTTCCCGTAGGTTAATGCTGGCTGGGTTATCCTGAGAGTTGAAGTCCATCCATCTTAAAATGGCTAGAGTTGGGAAACACTATTGTAGATGGTTAGGCTTCAAGAAACCCGGGACATGCCAAAGCTTAGAAAGAAAAGACTCTTTTCACAAAATTATCCGGAGCCCAGGAGTTGGGCTGGATCCATAAAAGGTTCTTCTGAACCAGCTTTCTGTTTCTTCAAGCACTTAAGTCGGGGCCCATGAGAAATCCCTCAGTAGGACATCAATCCAGTGTCATCTTCTGCTTGTGTTTCTTGACACCTTCCAGGTAGAACAGTATCTATTGCTGTTTTTTGGTGTTTTTTTTCCTCTGCAGATTTTGGGTTTGGAAACTTCTACAAAAGTGGTGAGCCTCTGACTACGTGGTGTGGAAGTCCACCTTACGCAGCTCCTGAGGTCTTTGAAGGCCAGCAGTACGAGGGGCCACAGCTGGACATTTGGGTATTGGCATAATGTTAAACGAAGTGCTTTCTTTTTTTAAAAAAAAAAAATCTGATCCTTTTTTCCGTAGGTTTTTGTTTTTCTGACTTGCTAAAAATACCTCCTTCTTGTCACCAGAAGAGAGCGTTGAGTCCAAAAATGTTTCCCGTTGAAACCTGTAAGATAGGAAACAGCTCAGCTGATGCAGAAAGTTGACTCCGATTCGCCTTCTTTGTCCTCTCTCCATCCTGCATCTGGACCAAGCTGTGTTGGTGTTTCAACACAGCTTGGTCCAGATTACGTTCTTCCCCCTTGGGGGTTCCAACCAGATTCTCAAAAGCTGGAGGGACCTGGCTGCTAACTTTCTGAGGAGAAGGAGGTCTGGCCTTTGGCCGTCTGGTTGCTGGGGTTGGACTACGCCCTGTGCCTTCTTCCTTCTTGCAGCTCTTGAGGGAAAAGGACACCAAAGAGGACACCTAGCAGAGCCCAGGGCCTTCCTTTTTTTAATGCATTGTCAGGGTTGCTGCCCTGTCTTCCTCCCTGCTAATTGGATCTGAGCATCTCCCGAGATTAGCAGGGCTTCTGCAGAAGCTTGCGCAGGCTCTTAAGGATTTGGAGGCAAAGTCTCCTGGCCTTTTGAGTCATGCAAGGCGAGGGGAAAAGAACACGAAGCAGTCTGGAGCCTCCTCTGCTGATGTCGTTGCAGGCCTGGAGGGCGGATGTAGGGAGGGTCCCTCAAGGGCCAAAGGCCACCTTTGAAGTTGGTCCTTCAGAAGCAGGGCAGGGTCCCAACGTGAGGCCGTCCTCTCCCCCTGCCCCGTGCTCCCTGCCCCTCGCTTCCAAGTGAACCCTCTGCACACCCCAAACACACCCTGGGGCTGACGGCACCTCACGCTCTCTGCAAATGTGCCAAAACAATCACGATTAATGGCAGGAGCTGTTGTCTTGGCCAGGCTGCTAACAAAAACATCCTGCCTGTGGATCCCAGAAGGAAAGAATGTGCATTGGAGCAGGGGATTGGTGGAGCCGGGCAGGCTTCGCTAGCAGACAAAACTGGCCAGTGTTGGTCTCTAATGGCGGCTTTGATGTGAACCAGAGCTGGTCAGAGTAAGGCTCTGCCGGAGGTGGCAAAATTGGAAAGGGAAGGGAAGGGAAGGGAAGGGAAGGGAAGGGAAGGGAAGGAAGGAAGGAAGGAAGGAAGGAAGGAAGGAAGGAAGGAAGGAAGGAAGGAAGGAAGGAAGGGAAAATGAAAGAGATGGGAAGGAAGGGAGGGAGAGGGGAGGGAAGGAAAGGAAAGGGAGGGAGAGGGAAGGAAGGAAATATGATAGGAGATGACTACTGTGTTTGGAGTAGGGTTGTGGTGATGGCATCTTGTGTTCCCTGATCTCAGATCTACCGATTCTCTCTTGCAGAGCATGGGTGTTGTCCTTTACGTCTTAGTTTGTGGAGCTTTGCCTTTCGATGGACCGACCCTCCCCATCTTGAGGCAGCGAGTTTTGGAAGGAAGGTTCCGCATCCCCTATTTTATGTCTGAAGGTAACAGCCACAGATCCTTTGGAGGTCTTTCTGCCTTCATTCCCTGCAGACTCCCATATGCTGCAGGTGGTGGAGGTAGGAAGGGACGAGAAGTCCCAAAGATCCATATTTGGGGGGCAGGGGGGGGGCTTAGGGCAACTTGACTGATCTTTGATAATAATACTCTGAAATTGTTTGGCCAAAACGGGGAGAATTTGCACGGGGACACAGAGTGATGTCCATCCTCACAAAGAGCAGAGCTGCCCTCGCCCTAGCCCTTCACGTCTGGCTTCCGACAAGCAGAGAGGTGGGCAGTGAAATTGAAACTCCCGGTCCTGTGACGTCTCACTTAATGGCCCTGTCACTTAGCGATGGACTTGCTGGTCCCAGTAGCGGCCGCTAAAGGAGGATCACCTGTTTTAAGGGCTTTTCATGTATAGACGATGTAACGATGGCCCTGGAGTTGGGGTCATCTCTGACCCAGATGCTCTTCCTTCCTTCCTTCCTTCCTGTATCCAACTCTCTTTTTCGTTTTGGGGGCCTGCGCAGAGTGCGAGCATCTCATCCGGAGGATGCTGGTTCTGGATCCATCCAAGAGACTCAGCATTGCCCAGATTAAGGATCACAAGTGGATGCTAATAGAGGTTCCGGTCCAAAGGCCCGCTCTCTATTCCCAGGGGCAAGAGAACGGACCTTCCATCGGAGAATACAACGAGCAGGTCCTGCGGTTGATGCACAGCCTGGGGATTGACCAGCAAAAGACCATTGAGGTAAAAGAGTCTCCTGCACAGAGCGAGGATTTAACTCAGGGGCCTCCAAACTTGGCAGCTTTAAGACAGGTGGACTTCAACTCCCAGAATTCCCCAGCCGGACCCATATTTCTCAGTCTTAGCCACTGGAAGATGGGTGGACTTCAAGTCCCAGAATTCTCCAGCCAGCATGCGTTGAAATGTCTGGACTTCATGGCTGGCTAGGGAATTCTGGGAGTTGAAGTCCACAGGTCTTAAAGCTGCCAAGTTTGGAGGCTCCTGATTTAACCTCTTGGATTATTGTTCTGCAAGCGAAAACATAATTTTTATTTCACCCTCAGGCCTTTGGGGGAGATATTTGCAGCCGGAGGGCCCAAATGCTTTCATTGCTTTAGTAAAATAATTGCAGAATAAAAATAATCCCGCTTACAAGTAGCCCTCAATTTGCAGTCATTCTTTTAGCGACCATTTGAAGTTGCAGTGGCACTGAAAGAAGTGTCTTACATAGCCCTTGCACTTATCACCGACAGAGCATCCCCTCGGTCACACGATTAAAATTTGGGAGCTTGGACAACGGGCAGACATGACAATGGTTGTCACATCCTGTGATCACCCCAAGTTGCAAGAGCAAAGCCTTCCGACAAGCAGAGTCAATGGGGCAAGCTGGATTTGCTTAATGACCTCACGATTCATTTAACGACTGCAGTGATTCGTGTAACAAACGTGGCAAAAATGTTAGTGACTTACGAACTGCCTTGCTTGAGCAGTGGAAATTCTGGTCCTGGTTGTGATTGAAAGTTGAGGACTATCTCCCTTAGGCTTGTCGGGGGGGGGGGGGGGCTGCTTTGTTAGCATGGATTTCCATTGTTGCTCTGGTTTTATTGTGTAATTCTGGGGGAATAATATCTATAGGAATTGAAAAAACCCGTGTACTTTTCCTTTCATGTTTGTTTTTCCCTAAGCACAACCTTTGGAAATTCCCTCCAGACAACCGCATCACTATTTTCTCCAAAGGGCCAGTTCTGATTGTTGGCAGGAACGTTTTATCCCTCATGCTTCAATGCAGGAACGGTTCTTACACCTTCACGTCAGAAGTTAGCATCAAAAGTACAAGCGGGCATTGTCTGTCCAGGAAGTTTGGGGAAGTTCTGGGAATTAGGAGTTGACGAAAACAGGAAGTGAAACCCCCTTTTTTTTTTTTTTTGCCTGAAGCTTCTGCCGGGCGAGAGCTGACTGTCTCCTTAAAAAGCGCGCAGGTTGCCCCTTTTATTTTCGGTCTCTCGGCTTAGGATTCCAAACCAAGCGCCTTTCCAGAAATAAATGCTCAACTGCTCCCAGCGGGGACTCCGTGCGATCACTTCCTGAGAAGGCTCGATATTTTTAGCCGATGTGGAGCCTGCGATATTAATGCTTCCTGCCAGCAACTCCGGCTGGGGGGGGGGAGGTTAGGAGTGGGGGGAGGATGTACGTCAATGAAACCGAGAGCCTCGGAGCATCGCTTCCCTCTGGGGCTCGCAGTTAGAGAGACCCAGCTGGGGATGGGTTTCGCTTTTGCCGGGATCAGAAGATCTGAGTTGGGGGGCTGAGCTCCCCTCTGCAAAAGGGGTTTTTTGGAAAAGCTGCAGCCCCCACAGGATGTGGAGTCCATTGTCCCCCATTACGCGGAAATGGTTGGGTACCCGTACATGCCGTCCTCAACAACAGCTCGTTTAAGGATTGAAGTTACAACAGCCCTGGGGGAAAAATGGACTTTTAACTGTTTTTCACACGTATGACCCTTGCAGCATCCCCAGGGTCACGTGATCAAAATTCAGACCCTTGGCAAGCGGTTCATGTTTACGGCGGTCACCGTGTCCCGGGGGTCCTGTGATTCCCCCTTTTGCGACCATCTGACAAGCAAAGTCAATGGGGAGGCCAGGTTTGCTTAACAACCGGGTTACTGACTTAAACAATGGCGGCGATTCGTGGCAAGAAAAGTCGTAAAAGAGGGCAAAACTCACTTAACAAATGTCTCACTTAGCAACAGAATTCTGGGCTCCGTTGTGGTGGTAAGTCAAGGGCTGCCTGTGTCCGATTAGGGCAGGAACGCAGAAAGTGCTGCAGCACGGGTTCCTCAAAGAGATGGGCTTTGTGATTCCATAGGAAAGGGCCACTTCTCTGCCGCTTCTCCGGCCCCTGGGGAAATCCCCCCTGCGGCCCCTCTCTTCCCCCCCCCCCCCCCCGCTGGAACCAGAGCAGAAAAATACAGGTTGTCCTTGACTTAGGACCACAATTGAGCCCCAAGTCTTCTGTTGCTAAGCAAGACAGTTGTTAAGTGCCCCATTTTACCACCTTCCTGGCCGCGGTTGTTAAACGAATCACTGCACTTCTTAAGTTAGTAAATCAGTCTGGCTTCTCCATTGACTTTGCTGGTCAGAAGGTCCCAAAAGGCCAATCAAGGAGAATTATTTGTAGCTCAGGGCTGAAATGAAGGCTCCTCGGTGCTCTCTCAGCTTGCTTCTTTTCCTGCAGACGTTTCGCGACCCAACTAGGGAACATCAGATGTTACCCAGTTTGGATGGCGAAACGTCTGCCAGGAAACAAGCTAGCTGACATGACCCCGGGACGCTGCAACCATCATAGATAACGTGCCACTTCCAAGCCTCCGAATGTTGATCCCGTGAGCACGGGGATGCTGTAAGTCTCAAAGACCGTTTGAAAAACGGTCATCAGTCACTTTTTCCAGTGCTGTGTAACTTGGAAGGGTCACTAAACGAAGGGTTATAACTCAAGGAACTCTGCACCATCCAGGGAGCAAACTATCAAGGGGGGCTGATCGGATGCCCCGAAGGACGCTGGGGAAGAACCGATGCCCCGACTCAACTCCCGGGCACTTGTCTTTTTCTTCTCTCAGTCCCTGCAGGATAAGAGCTACAATCACTTTGCTGCTATCTATTACCTGCTGGTAGAGAGGCTGAAGTCCCACCGCAGTAGCTTCCCCGTCGATCAGCGGTTAGACTCTCGCCAGCGGCGACCCAGCACCATCGCCGAACAGACAGTCGCCAAGGTAATTGCCTGGGCTGTGTTCTAGAGCCACGGTTGGACAATCTAGAACGCAGAAGAGCGGGAGGGCTCTCGTCCTCTCTGCAAAAGCCAGGGGTTTTCTGCCCGGAAGGTTTGCCGAGTGAGACGGAGTACGAACCCACTCCATACCTAACCCTCGTGCCACCAGCGGTTCTCCAGAGCTCCTGGTAGTCCCATTTGAAATAAACCTGTCACAAAAGTCCACGTGATCCGCCACTATGTGTTTCTGGAAATGGACAGGAAATCCTGTATTGCTGAGCGAGCATATTGTTTTAGAGAGGGGCGCTATCTCAGGAAGTATTTCTCAACCTCTCAGCAACTTTAAAGATGGGTGGACTTCAATCCCCAGAATTCCCCAGTCAGCATGGCTGGCTGGGGAATTCTGGGAGTTTGAAGACCACCCATCTTTAAAGTTCCCGTGTTTGAGAAACCCCGATCTCGGGCCCAAGTGGTTCTTCTGCAGAAACAGCCAGATCTGAATAATGTTTACTAAATGTAGACCACCCAGAAGCCCCCATGAAAACATCTGCCACATCTGCCCTGAACTCTCTTGACAGCTGGCTGCTGGATATCTCCTTGCTTCTTCCCCTTTTGTCCTAACTCCCTCCCACGCTCCGGGAGACAAATTCCTTATATGTGGAGGGTTAGGCCTTGGAGAAGGCTTCCTGCTTCCTTCTGCGTAGGGTCAGTATGGAAATTGCATGGAGCACTTCAAGTTCTGGGCTTTTGTGAGATTTGGGCAGGATAAAACTCCAGTCAGTAGCCGGGCAGCAGCAGCACCAATGGACCAAATTACCATCTTTCAGTTCAGTTGTAATGAGAGCCTCCATCTTGGGAGAAGCTGCTTGCGGCACTTTAACCTCTTCTGTCTTCCTTCTTCTCAGTTTAAGTCAGATTTCTTTTTTTTTCTCCTTTTCTTTGTCATAGCATCCTTGAACTTCCTGGTTTCTTTTGGCTTCTGCTTTTGACAGCCTTTTTCTCTTGTCCGTCACAGGCTTCTGTGGCTCCTGTAAACTTGCACTCTCCAAACGTGAGGATACGAAGGTCTCCTGGCCTCCCGCCAACAGTAGAAGCGTTCTCCTTCCCCAGATCTGTCTGCCAGGTGGAATCGACTTTCATGGAAGAAGAGAGAGTCGACACGCCCAAAGTAAGGGCATCTCACTCTGCAGGGGGATTGTGTTGTGTGCCGTTTTATTTTGGATTCGTCAAGCTACAGCCCCTTAGAGCAGGGGTCCCCAACCCCCGGGCCATGGACCGGTACCAGGCCGCAGCATGCCAGCAACCGGTCCGCACAAACAAGCAAAGCCCCATCTGCAGGATGCAGGCAGCATACAAAACCATGCACTTTCCGTTCTGTGAAAAAACCTTTATCCACGGAACCGGTCGCTGTTCCCAAAAGGTTGGGGACCTTAGAGGTACTTTTAGTCCTCGACTTATGACAACAGTTGAGCCCAGAATTTGTGTCACTAAGACTCCAACAATCTGGGTCCTCATTTACCGACCATGGAAGGATGGAGCTGGTGAGGATCGATCTGCTGGCAGTGGGCAGAATTAGCCTACCATGCCGCATTCTAAGCCCTGCGCCACCAGGGCTGTTTTAAATCAGCCCTATTTTTGATCCCATGATCATGGGAGGTACTTTGATTGTCATAAGTGCGAGGACTGTTCATAAGTTACTTTTTTCCAGTGCCGTTTGAAGTCCGAATGGGTCGCTAAATGAATGCTTGGAAGTTGAGGACGGTCGATCATCCCATCGCTAAAGGAGTAGCTTGGGGCGCTTCCTCTCCTCAACCCGGCTGCCTCTTCTCTCCCTCCTCTGATTAGGTGAACGGCTGCCTGTTGGATCCCGTTCCCCCGGTGATGGTTCGGAAGGGGTGCCAGTCGCTCCCGACCAGCATGATGGAAACTTCCATCGACGAAGGGATAGAAGCGGAAGGGGAAGCGGAAGGGGATCCCGCCCAGGCCTTCGCAGCGCTTCAAGGATCTCGCAGTGGGAAGAGGCGACATACCCTGGCCGAAGTGACCAACCCTCTCTTGGCCATGCCAGGCCCAGGTACAAAAACGGGGCCCGAGGGTCCAGGCTGGAGATCAGAGCTTCAGACAAAGGGGTCACTTCTGGTCCAACCTTCCCCCCACCTTATGCTCTCCGGGAAGTTCTGGAAAGACAATCCCGCCACACCAGATTGAGGAAGGTTGATAACAGAATCAAGAGTTGGAAGGAGCCTTGGGGGTCCTCTAGTCCAACCCCCTGCTCAAGCAGGAGACCCTAGACCAGGGGGGGTCAAACTCGTCGCGTCAAGTGACGTGTCGCGACGTATCGTGACTTTTTTCCCCTTGCCGGGGTGGGCGCAGCTTCTGCGTGACGGATACGGCCTGCAGGCTAGCAGTTTGACACCCCTGCTCAACCCCCGGTCCATGGACCGGTACCGGGCTGCGGCATGCCAGCAACCAGTCCGCATAAACAAGCAAAGCCCCATCCGTGGGATGCAGGCAGCACACAAAACCACGCACTCTCCGGTCCATGGAAAAACCTCTCTCCATGGAACCGGTCCCTGGTGCCCAAAAGGTTGGAGACCCCTGCCCTAGACCATTTCAGACAAATGGTTGTCCAATCTCTTCTTCAAAACCCTAAACCTAACCCGTCTTACGTCCCACTTGAATTTAACTGTCAAGAACGGAGGACCCTTGAGTCTTCTGCCTGCCTTGGAACCAGCTATGAATTTGCTTTGTGGGAAGATCCGAGGAGCAACGGTGCAGATGGCGGCTGCTTGCTTTGCCAAGCCATTTCACGACAGGCTGCAAAGATTTGGAAGAGCAAACAGTGTCAGCTCAGAAGCCACCAGCTGGCAAGGGCTTCACGGTGCTGGTAGCAAACAGAAAAGCCCTCAAAGAGAACAAGTTTCTCTCGGTTCACATGTCTCCGCTTGCACGTTTTTGCGGCATATGTTAGGTGTCTGCAAGAGGGAAGGCCTGCCCACGCTTTGGGGAAAAAAAAACAGGAAGAAATCAGTAGGAGAGCGCTCTCAAAATTGCTGTTGAGCCAATGATTCCTTTTAGGAAGGTCATCCCCATAAAGCAATTCATGTGTGTCGTTGCGTTTCTGGTAGACTATTGACTTTCCAGGGCCCTAGAGAGACAGCAGGCTTGAACGTGAGGCCAGGTCACAGAGTGCTTAAACAAGGTTTAAAAGGCACGGTTGAGATCTCCAAAGGATGCAGGCGACTCTTAAATGGGGGAGTAGGGTGGTGGGCTCTGCTCTGGCTGAGCTGGAAGCAGGACTCAGCTGGGGGGCTACGTTCATTTCATTCTTCTGGACATCCTGCTCGGTCTCCTTGTGTTCAGAGGTCAGTAACTAACTGGGGTCCATTAGACCAGGAATCTCCAACCTTGGCAACTTGAAGACTTGTGGACTTCAATTCCCAGAATTCCCCAGCCAGCCATGCTTAGAGCAGCCTTTTTCAGTCAAGGTCTTCTAAGCCTCTGTGAGCCCCACTATTCTCTAGCGCAGGAGTTCCAGCCTTGGCAACTTGTGGACTTCAACTCCCAGAATTCCCCAGGCTCGCTGGGGAATTCTGGAAGTTGAAGTCCACAGATCTTCAAGTTGCTAAGGTTGGAGCCCCCTGCATTAGAAGAAGCTTTAGAGGAGAAACATTGGCCTCATCCTCATTGGCCCACTCAAGTCAAGAGGCTTCCTGTATGTGGGCCAAGAGTTGGGAAGACTCTCCTTGTAGGCCTCACAAAGTGATCCGCTTGCCTCTCTAGGACTTTAGACACAACGGCCCTGGTGGATCATGGTTAATTCTGTTTCTTGTGCTTCTTCTTGGGTGCTGAAGGAAAAGTCTTCTCCATGGATGAGAACCAATCCTTGGGCAGTGTTGACTCGGAATATGACATGGGATCTATCCAGAGGGATTTAAACTTCCTGGAAGACACCTCCTCCTTGAAGGAAATGGTTCTGGCCAACCCACCAGCTCCGAGGATGACCCCTCCTTTCATTGGCCTGAGACCGCCTAATCCAGCTATGCAGGCATTGGCTGCCCACAAACGGGAGATCCACAATCGTTCCCCGGTCAGCTTTCGGGAGGGGCGCAGAGCTTCGGACACATCCCTGACGCAAGGTAACTGCTCTGGGTTGAGTGGCATCAGAGGGACCGACGGTCTTTGATGGCCAAAGCCTGGTTGCCATTGGCTGCAGGAGTTGGGGCTGTGATGCCTTGACCTGGCCAAAGGGGCTTTGGGGTGGTCTCTTGCAAACTTGCAGCGGAAACCAAAAGAGAATGCAGAAGTTGGTCACCACGACTTGCTTGTGAAAAGGTCCTTAAATCACTTTGGAATCGCTCTGCTCTTTACCCTCCCAACAGGAATCGTAGCGTTCAGACAACACCTTCAGAACCTGGCCAGAACCAAAGGAATCCTGGAGCTGAACAAAGTCCAGATGTTGTATGACCAGATGAGGTCAGAAGATGAACCTTCTCTGGAATCCGCTTCTCCTCACTTGCCAGACTTTGAGGGTGGCTCCCAGCAGGTACGTCCTTCATCACCTGGGTTGGGGCTCTCTGGAGCCACTGAGTTCCTACACTATACATAAACCAACCTCTTCCTGAAGCTACCTTGAAAGGTGTGCAGATGTCTTAAGTCCCCCCAACCAGCAGGGTCTCAGCTTCCCAAATTCTGAATATTGAGGATCAGAGAAGTGGTTTAGATAGATGTAGATACCAAGGGGTGATGGAAGCTGTAGCACATCAAGCACCAGCTTTTGATTCACCTGGGCCTGAAATGTGGCATCATCTGGTGCCATTCCTGCCAGTCTAGAGGTTGAGGATCTGGAGGTCCTCTTGATGGCCGGAACCTCAGCTCAAACCTTGTGCGGTTGCCTCCTCCGGGCCACAGAAATGCAGTCTGAACGTTTGATGGTGACTCGGAGGTGGGATTGGTGGATGGGGTTATTTTGAATTCGATGTTCTTCCCCCTTCCTAAAGAGTCTGGTTAATTATCCTGCATTTCTGGACGTTTCTGAGTCTGCCTTTTGCTCCAAGCAGCTGGGAGATCATTTGGCCAATAAGGTGTTCGTCTCCCCCCCTTTTTCCCTCCAGGAAGAGGCGTCCTCGCCACAGGAGGCGGCTTCCACCTTCCCCAGCAGCCTCCATCCCCCGTTGCTCGCCAGGCGCCAGAGCTTAGAAACGCAGTATTTGCAGCACCGGCTTCAGGTATGTGTTGCCTTCCTGGAAAGCCTTAAGGACAATGGAAACGAATTATTCAGTAGGGGTGGCTGCCTTTCCTTTTTCAAATCCACTTCATAGAAAAGGGTGGGGGGGGGGGTTCTGCTCCCACTGCCACACTCGGGGAGCAGGAGGGGAGGGGTTGCCTCCTCCCCAGGTCAGAAGGGGGGGAGGGGAGTCTTAGATCCAGCCCACAAATTCAGCCTCCATCTGACTTTCCAAGACTTCCATGGCAATCTCGAAACGCCCTGCGTGCCTGCAGTGAGGCCCGCCTCCTTCCCTTTCCCCTTCTCCTCCTCCTTCCAGAAGCCCAGCCTGCTTTCGAAAGCCCAGCACGTGTGCCAGGTGTTTTGCAAGGAGATACCTCGGAGCCTGGAACAGCAGCTGCAGGAGCACAGGTGAGCCGCAAGCTCGGGGAAGGTGGACTTCAACTCCCAGAATTCCCCAGCAGGCATGGCTGACTGAGGAATTCTGGGACTCAAGGTCCAAAGGTCTGAAGACTTGTGGAATGGAAGAAGAAGACTTGTGGACCTCCAATTCTGGGAGCTGAAGTCCACAAGTCTTAAAAGTTGCCAAGGTTGGAGACTCCTGGCTTATGGGAAAGCAGACTGACAATTCTCCATCTCTTAATTTAGGCTGTATCAGAAGCACCTCTTTCTCCAGAAGCAATCCCAGCTGCAGACTTACTTCAACCAGATGCAGATCGCCGAGAGCACCTACTCCAGATCCGGCCAGCTGCCCCTCCCTTGCCATGAGGATCCCCCTCCTCTTCCTCCCCCCCAGTTCAGCCTGGTGCAGGCCTTGAGCCCCGTCATGGAGCCTCCGTCTGCCGAAGACATGCAATACGACCCTTTCCTCGGCCAGTATCAGAAGCTCCATCTTGACCATCAACCTCCTCCCGCCCTCCACGGCTCCTCCCAGGTTCCCCTGCCAGCACCCTCCCAGCCACAGTATTCCTACCAGACTTGCGAAGGGCCAGTTGGCCTCTGCCCTGACCTGAACTATGCCGGCCAGCCTCAGTATCCCCTGGACCCCAGCCAGCAGAGTGGTATAGCCATGGGCAACGTCCAGAGGGCCTCAGATCCTCCTGGCTCTCAGTCCAGCTACGACACCTTAAACCTTGCCCAGTTGCCGGGGCTCTTGGATTGCGAAATGATGGAGACGGTGGATCCCCAACACGGAGGCTACGTCTTGGTGAACTAGCAGCTTGGGAAGCCTTCTGGAGAAGAGGACGGCGGGTCGAAGTCGAGTCACACCACGGCTGTGGATTGCCATCTGTGCTCTGTCTCCCGCCTCCCCGGCGGCTTCTCCCGATCCTTGAGCGTCACGGATGACGATCCAAACTCTCTGAACTGGTACTAGCGGAGAAGGGCCACGTCTCCCTTTCCGGGAGAGCCGGAGGGGCTAGAGGCAGACCCTGCACCTTCCCCAGAACAAAGAACTACTTTGAAGGGAAGGAGACCACCCGCTTCGGAGAAGGAAGAAATCTTTGGTATTCTACTCACCTCTGTCAGAGGAAACCTGGGAGAATTCAGGAAGAGCAGTGAATTTGCTCTACACCATACTTGGCAATAAAAGCAATACATTTTTTTTCATTGGAATTTGGCCGAGATGTCGTCGACACGGAAGCCAGTCAGGAATGTAGGATGCCCAGGGCATTGAGAATTGGTCCGCTAAGCTAGGCTGGGCTGTAGATCAGAGGTGAGGAACTCTGGCCCCCTTTACGACTTGTGGACTTCCACTCCCAGAATTCCTGAGCCAGCCATTCTGGGAGCTGAAGTCCACACAAGTCACAAGAGGGCCAGAGTTCCCTACCCCTGTGGAGATGTTCTTCAGAGGACTTGCAAGAACTCTTTGGGCTTCGTTGGCCGGATGACTTGCAGGGAACTCCAAATCTTTGCACCTCTCACAGACTGCCTGGGTTGTCGACAGAATTGAAATCCGACTTGGAGTTAACGTCTAGGGTTGTCGAGGTCCTCCAGAGATCAGCAGGGAAGGAGGTCCAGGAGTCTGAAGCTAAGCAGCATCAGCAAACTTGAGGAGAACTTGATCACTGGACAAATTGTTCTAGGCTGCCCTTTGTAGCTATTTTTTTTCTTTTTTAGAGGAAGCAAATCTACTTGGACTTCAAGAGTGCGTCGGTGGTTGTTCTTAGGCTTTGCATATTTGGGCAACTATTTAGGGGTGTAGTGTTTTAAGGACAAAGCAGAATAAGCTTATCAGAAAACCCATGTGAAGTGATAGTGCCGTGCCTTTTTTTCGGTTCTTTCTAAGACCCTTTCTTTCTCTCTTTTTTTTTAAATTTCTGAAGTTTTAAAAGAAACCACCCCATCTCTTGTCCAGGCTGACACCAAAGTCCCTTCAGAGACCGGGTTCCACCGTGTGGAATGCGGGTTTCGTGGTTCTCCCCACCCCCCATAACTCTTTCTGACTCACTCATCTAGAGACCTGATTTTAATTTTCCTTTCAAAAGAAGTATTACAGCAATATTTAGGATCGGTAACCATTGACTTGTTCATCCCTTCAACAGGTGTCTGCTCTGTAAAAGCATCGGCCTCTCTAGGAAAGAGACAAATATACTTCCAATTTGTTTCAAGAGGAGATGAGGTGAGCATTTCAGGCAGACATTTGGAGACTTCTACGGGAACTGGGTGAAAATTGAAGCACAACCTCCAACTTTTTTTTAAGCACAAAAAAGGGGTCACCCAGCAAAACAGCCCGATAGAAAGGCAAGGGGAGGCCTCTGGTTTCGGTCCGGTGATCCATTCTGGTGATTTGCTTGCCCATTTGATGCTGTAGGACAACATGTCTCAATCTCAGCCATTTTAAGATGGGGGGAATTCTGGGAGTTGAAGTCCACCCATCTTAAAATGGCCATGGTTGAAAACCACAGCTCTAGGGTAACTGCAATAAAATTTGGGGGGGAGATCTCTTCTGATCTGTTTTAAAACTATTGACCGGTTTCAAAGAAGAGAAATACGTTGTCCCGATGACGGTGTTCTCTGTCAGCTACAATCAGCCCTGGAGTGGCTCTCCAAAAGTTGCATCAAGAAATCAGTTCCATGAAATAACGCCCAGGAAGTGGCCCAGGAAGAGCGTGAGATGGGGCAGCCTGGGGGATGGGTGGCCCATCCTAATGGTGAGGTTGCTTCCCTTCGCCCTCAGCTCCAACCTCTTGGAGAAGGAATCCAGGTTCCCATGGAGCTGGGCTTGTGGCTTTGGGGGGGGTGCTTTCTCCCCCCCCCCCAGTGTTTTACACCCGACGGAGCATGAAAACCTTCTGTCTGCCTCCTGTTCTTCCACGGGATCTCTTGTGCATTCCACGAGTGGGAAGAGATCGTCCCAGCCTAACTTCCTTGCAAACTGCGGGAAGAAATCCATCACCTCTCCCAGCTGACCATCTTGGGGAACTCGGAGCGAGTGGGGTGGGGGAATGTAGCCCAGGTCAGCCCTTCCTCCCCTCTTCGATCCACAGAGGAAGACCCTTCAGCCCATCATCACAGCAGACTGGATTGAGCTACCAAGAACCCTACTGGGCCTGGCACAGGTTACCGGCGGCTGTGTTGCCGACTCACCTTCTAAGGAGCCAACAGGCTTTTTCGTAGCATCCCAAGGGCTGCCTTGGTGCAGAAGGCTGCTGATTTTGTGCAAACCCCCCCCCTCTAGACTTCACGGGTAGCAAACCTGTGAGCAGGCACCTCTTTGCCAGAGATTTATTCCACGAGGGCTCGGAGAGGACCATGAGTTCCTGGCCAGGTTTACTGAAGGCTAGTCAGCCAGGCAACCAAGCTGGTCTGGCTCCCATCTGTGCTTCCAGAGCCCACCTTGTAGCCATCTGGGGCAGATTCAGGGCCACCGAGTGACCCAGCCTCATTCTCTGGGCGGGGGGGGGGTATTTTTTCCCCCTGTTCTGGGACTGAACCTCTGAATGTAAAGCTAGTTGAGACACCACCACCCCTCCCTCCATCTCTCCCTCTGCTGAACAGTCTGTGTTTCTCAACCTCTGGTGTCTTTCCAACGACAGCGATCCGGGGGAAAGTGTGTTTTCCCAGCCAGACTCGCCCTGCCCGTAGGATGCCACCCCTTCCTCTTGTGTTCCAGCTCGTTCAAAGTAGCCGCTTCAGTCCAATCGACTGTGTGGGTCCCTTCAAGGGGTTTGTGAACGCCACTGATTTTAGGAAACGACTAGCTTTATCCGTTCAAAACGCAGGTCCCTTTGAAGAGACTTTGGTGAGAGGTCAATTGGTGAGGGGGGGGTGGGGGGAGGGTTTCCACAATCTTTTACTATGGAGACAAGTGCAATATGTGTGTGGTACGTTCTTTAATGTATTTTTTAAGAAAAAAAAGAGTTAAAAGGATTTAGCCTTCGCTTGAGGAAACCTGCACCAAGATGGCAAACGCCTCTTTGGGGGCATCCCTCTGTAGTATTTACATGCTGGACTCTGTCAAAGCAATTGCAATGTATTAATGCAGAATAAAGAACTTGGACCTTCCGCTTGTTTGTTTGTTTGTTTGTTTTTTATTTTTAATTTTTGGTGAGCTCCATGACATCAGCTCCTGTTTTGGGGCATCGGGACTGGCAGCCTCTCTTGCAGATCTTTAGGAAGCTACTCACAATGGCCACCGTGGTTATAAATCGAAGGTCCAGCAGCCGAAGTAGCAGGTCCCCAGATTGATCCCAGGTACCTCCCTGGATAGCTGGGAAGGCCCATCATTGTGATGGATTAAGTAAGATTCTGACTTGGAAAGCAACAGCAATAGCACTTAGACTTATATACTGCTTCACGGTGCTTTACAGCCCGCTAAGCAGTTTACAGAGTCAACATATTTGGCCCCCCCAACAATCCAGGCTTTTACCGACCTGGGAAGGAGGGAAGGGGCTGAGTCAACCTTGAGCCGATGAGAATCGAACTCCTGGCAGTCAGCAAAGTCCGCCTGCAACCCTGCATTCTAACCATTGTGCCAGCAGGGCTCAAGAGATCTCCCGAGCAGGTGCAAATGTTCAAGATTTCTTCTCAGAGCCTGGTTAGAGCTGGGAGTGCAGTCATGTTTTGAAAAAAGAAGGGAATCCTTTACTGAAATCTCTGACCGATGGTCATCCAGCCAACCAAAATCAACTTCCTTGTAATGGATTCCTGGACTCTCTTGGGGAACAGCTCTGAATAAATCTGGCCTGTCTTCCACCTGGCCACCGGTCAGTTTTTTAAAGACCTGTCACATCTCCCCACAATAGCCTCTAGGCTAAATATCCAAGCAATCCTTGTTTAGCGACTGTTCGCAGGTATGAAAAATTAGCTTTGCAACCAGTTCTCCTACTCACCCTCTTTGCAGGTCTGTAAAAGCAAAGGAAAGCTGACCATCGTAAACACAGTTGCTGGCTCACTTAGCAATCACTTGGCTTCATGTCCAAGTTGCCCGTTCCAATTGTGGTCACCAAATAAGGGTTACCTGTATACTTAGTGCTTCCTATTGTTCCTCTTCAGTTCTCCTTGCAGTTTGCTGTCCTGAGGACTGCTCCAGTTCTTCAAAGCTTGATGGAGTTTTCGTGTAGTTTGACCCATGCAGAATAAAAGTTAAATAGTACATTATTATTATTATTTTATCAGAAACCAACCTTGCGGGACAGACTTTGGCTATCACCGAAAAAAGCAGGTAGCCTTAAATTGCCACCTCTTCTTCGTTCTTCCCCTTTGATACTACAGATTTAGATTGCGGATAGCAGATGACAGCCTTCATCCAGCCCAAACACGGCACATCCCTGTGCAGTTAATCCCTTGTCCATTTTGATTTCTTTCCCGAGGACTGTTGTATAGCACGAGTAATACAGAACGCAAACAAGTCGCTTTGCATGATGCCATGGGAAATAACGCTGGGGTTTTCGTTCTCTCTCTTTCCTTGAGGGAAGAAATTCAGCCTGCCGGTTATTTTGAGATGGCAAATTGATTCCACAGGTTAAGATGCTGAGCCAATTCGTCAGAAGAGGCATTTTAAGATGTATTTAGTAGCTTTTCACTGCAGTTGGGAAAAGCCTCTGTCTCTTTTCTGAACTATGAAATAGAATAAGTGACCAAGAGTCAGTTGGTGTACTGGTTAAAGCAGCGTTTTCCAACTTCAGCGACTTTAAGAGGGTTGGACTTCAACTCCCAGAATTCCCGAGAGTTGGCTGGGGAATTCTGGGAGTTGAAGCCCATCCTACTTAAAAG